TGATTGTTTGCCTCATCCACTTTATCTTTCCTTGATTGCTTCAACATTTCCAGCTCGGCCCGGAGAGCGTCTCTTTCTTTTTCAGCAGATCCAAGTTAGCCGAGCAACTTGGAGTTGTTAGTGTTTGCAATCCCCGAAGAAGCCTTTGATTGTCCCAGCTCAGTTTGAAGATGCTCGACCTGGCTGGCGGCATCGGTCACCTTTTGTCGGAGTCTATGAATTCGGTCCATCACAAGATGTTGCTTCTGGATGGCCTGCAAGAGGACGCATTGAGTGTTTAGAAAAGAAGAGTAACCATGCAAACACTTAACAAATTTGAATAAAACATGCCGAATTCTTACCCGGGTCACAGACTTAACCGAGGACTTCACGAGCCGGGTGTTGGGCACGTGGTCGCTGCCAGACACGTCGCTCGGTAGGAGCAGGGCCTTTGTCAGGTTGAAGGCCAGCAGATGCTCCTTGTCACCTTTAACTGAGGCGTTTATCGGGATCTCTTTACCTCGGTGCTTGAGCTGTGGCTGCCATGGAGGAGTTGGCGTTAAGGCTTCAGCTGGCTGCTCGGTGTTCAGCTCAACAATGAGCTCGGCTGACAGATCGGCAAACTGGGGCCTTTTCCCTGCTTGGTGACTTTCTTTACTGACCGGCGCTGCAGCAGTCGATGCCAATGCTATCACGGTCCCAGATGATTGACCGGCAGCCAGGGCACGGGGAGAGATGCTTGGCAGATCGGGGGATATGGCAGTGATGAGATTTTTGATACGGCTTCGTTTGGCCATTTCGTCTTCCTCAGTCAGCCGGATAAGGGGCACGTCCGGTAGTGTTGGATCGGGTGGTGGAGAAGGTGCTTGGAGAAAGTCTGTAACCCTACTCCGGCGGGAAGCTGTGTATCTGTAGCTTGGTATGTAGCCGAGAAGGTTGTGGCAATCTCGGTTGCGACACCGCAGTACGGTTCTGATGGCAGCCTCGTTGGGGTTAAAGTAGTTCACTTGCAAGGCTTCGATAGCTGCAAAGAGGAAAAGAAGAAAAGGCAATAGTGTAGAACAGTAAAGGAAAATGGGTTGACCGAGCAGTGAGCACGGCTTACATGTCGAACCGAAGTTCTTGCTGATGTACCAGCTTGGCACGTCGGCTGTTTCATAATTTCCAAACACCCAGAAAAAGTCATTGTCGTGCATATCTTTATCTGGTGTGCCGGTTACAATCTTCTCCTTGCCCGGCCTAATCTTTAAGTAGTAGTTAAGCCCATCGCCTGTATGCCCGAGGGTGTACCCGTTTATTATTCTGTAGGTGTTGGTTGAAACTTGTGTTGGTGCTAGCCCGGTGCGCCTTAGGAACTCACACATTAGAGGCTGAACCGGGAAGCAAAGGCCGCCTTCGATTATGGAAAGCACGGTGAAGGGGCATTGTTCCAGTCTGGCCCAAGGGTTGGTGTCCTCGTCATTGAGCTCGAGATGTACGTCTGCGGGGACGCCGTATTCTTCCCGGAACGCGGCTAGTGCGACCGGCGTGTCAATAAGGAATCGATAACGCCCCATGTGAAGTCGGCTGGTTTTAGCACGGCTGTGTTGGTTTGGCAAAATTTCGTTTGATGGCTGCTCGGCCTTTGAGAGCCTCAGTGTTGGTGTCTGGTCCCCTAGGACTCTGTAGTAAAAGCCAAGTGTAAGTGGTAGCGCGGTCGCGCAAACGAGCTCGGTTGTAGCTCGGACACAACAAGTACAGCAGTACCTCGGTCACTACTGTACATCCAGAAGCTCGGCCGCTCGAGCGGACCAGATGTTAGCCCGGTCGAGCGGTCTAGCGTTTTGTTAGATTCCCATCCCTCTCTCAAACTTCCAACTTGCTCGGTTCTATTATTTTTTGGATCAAATAAGGTCCAATAGCCCGGTCAGCCCCAGATCCTCGCATGTTCATCGTAGAAAATGAAGAACAGTTGACGGAGAAGGGGCTGAGGTGGTTTTTGGGGAGGCTACATCGTAAAGCCTACTCCTATTGTGCCCTAGACTCAGCTATGACAATCACATATATATATTTGTATATATATGAGAATCAAATGAAAAACAAAGAAAGTTGGAGAACTTACCAGTTAGCGCACTGACGGTGGCACGAAGCAGTGGGAAAGAGGCCCTCAGCGACGACGGTGGGGTAGGACTTGCTTGCGTGGATGCTCTGATGAAAAATGAAGAGTGAGGGCAAAAAGCTTTCAATCGCAAGATGGTTTTGGCAAAAGGAAGTAAACTGAACAAGAAAGAAATGCGAAGGGGAAGCGGTGTGCATATAAGAGAGGAAAAAGCACCGAAAATTCGAACATGAAGAGACGGTGGGGTTGGTGGTTCGAGAACAATGAGCGAAGGATGCGTGTTCATAATGACGGCGGCGTCAGTATTGAAGAGACAGGATGGCGAGTTGAGGCGTCGACCGAGCAAGTCAAGAAATCGAGCATGGGGATTAGCGCGGTTAACGTCTTGCGGATTAAAGTCGGGTGGAGAATCGACCCCGGTCGGATCATGTAATCCCAGTCACGCTTGCGCGGACGGAATTAAGGGGCAATTGTGAGGGAGATTCATAATCTGGCTTTGGGCCGTGGTAGAAGCCGGGCAGAAGAAGGGCCAAGCTTGTTTGGGCCGAGCTAACTTGGGCTTGTCCAGAGTTGGTTTGATCGGTCGAGTCCTAGGTCCCATGTTTGGGCCGAGCTAACTTGGCCGAGATGATCGTCTGCCAACCCGGGTTTCATGGTTCGCACATTTAACTTGTCGGGAAAGGTCTTCTGAATATCGTCCTGATCTGTCTGGAGCTTAGTCGTACCGGAATGCTACCGAGCTCGGTTGTGATGGAGCTCGGCGAGCGGTGTCGTCGGATTCGTTACATATCACGGTCGTATGAGGCCGAGGTGATGCCGCCGGGCTGTCCCATTCTCGCTAGTGTTGTCTGGCGGTTTGATTAGGTGGTGTTTAGCTGAATTTGCGTTGACGGATGAGAGAGCAACTCTACGTGTCAATTGATGAGTAGGTGCAGAGGTGAACGCAGAAAGTATATAAGCATGACTGCGTCCCCCATGTTGGGGATGGAACATCATTTGGTGAGAGAAACTTACCATTCATTCAGCTCTTCTCTCTCTCTCTCTCCGAGTGTGTGCTAACTAGACCGTCGGAGGGGTTTTCTGGCAACACACCGCCGGGTAGCTCACCGCCATTATATTTTCAAGTTGATTAGATAGACATAGAACTTGGACGAAAGGAGTATGAATAGCGACGAATATCTCATTCCCGTACAATAATATTATTATATCATCCACAATACATGTCAACCCGTTACAATGAAAATCACAAATGTCGACACCATGATCTTACAATCAACAAATCATAGAACGATGAGATATAATAGTCAAACTAAAAATAATTATAATTTCTTAATGGAATTACCATCAGATTGTTTGTTATTGGATGGTAAAATTAGAAAAAATTATAAATCAGTGGTCTTAATTGCATCAGCACAAGGCTTACACGTGTCTTTATGTTTGTATAATAAGGCTTGGTTTGGCATAACCAAAAAAAGTTAAAAAGTCTAAAAGTCACTATCCTATTTAAATCACATCATTTTATTTAAGTCACATCACCTCTCTACTACATCACTTCAAACCCAACTCATATCCAACTCATATTTCATAAAAAGTCAAAAAGTGCACTTATTTAATTTTCCCTTCTTTTAACTTCTTTGTAATTGTCTAATAAGGTTTGGTTTCAATTTTTAGAATTTACCTTTTAAAAAAATTTATTTTTTTGTTTTCCATATTTTTTTATTTTTATTGAATTTTTTTAATATTTTAAGTAATTTTTTTAAAAATTTTTAGACACACTTAACATAAATATACTAAAAAAGTATAATATTTATGAAAAAATCTTTAAAAAATTCACTAAACATAAAAAATACTAAAAAATATGAAAATTCATTATATTTTTTGTATTCTTGTATATTTATTAATTTTTTTAAATATTTTTTCACAAATATTTTACTAGTTAGATATATCTAAGTAAGGTGTATCTAAAAAAAATAAAAAAATTACTTAAAATTTTAAAAATATTCACTAAAAATAAAAAAATATATAAAAACAAAAAATTTAATTTTTAAAAAACTGAATTCAAAAAACTGAAATCAAGTACACTGATTATTTTTCATAATAAATAAAATTTATTTGCAAATTATTTAGTTTAAAATTTAAAATTCTATCTTTACACACTTTTTAACTCACTAAAGTGACACTTACCAACACAGAGAACGGTTCGGATCATTAAAATCAATTTCCAAATTGATCTATCAAATCCAAACACTCTTTTAAATTAAGATGATAATTTCAAAGAAATCAGATCCTTTATTTATTGCAACAGCACATTAATCAATACGAAAAATTTAAATACAAATTTTTTTGAGAAAGAGTTGCACTTTGTTTTAAAATCTGTTTTCTTTTCTTTTCTTTTTTTTTGAAAAAAATTATATAAGCAAGTTTGGTGAAAATAAATAGGAAAAAAAAGAAGAAGAAAAGAACAGAAGATGAAAATAATGAGTATTTTTAATTCTTTCACTTTTATCACCAAAACAAGTTTGTAGTTTGTTTTTTTAAAACTACAAAAATAAATTTTTGAAAACCAAATCAAACATAGTGTTGTTGTTTGGTATATATATATATATATATTTTTTTAAAATTGTCAAATAAAAAAACAAAACTCAAAATAAACTAAAAAGACTATTTTGAAAAAATTGTATTAAAAATAAATCACCCCATGCTCGGTGGCAAGCCGCCCACACCCTATTATCTAGAAGGCGACCCAGGTGTACATTTCATCATCCTTGTCAATTTTCAACGTTTCATTTTCGACTGCGTCCACCAATCGAATTTTTTAATTATTTTGCATTTCCACTCCCTTATTTTGACCACCCTAATTACAAACATTAAAATAATTCCAAAAACAAATAAAAAATTGAATCTTCAAGTCTTTGATGCCCCTAAATCTCCTCCCTCTTTTCAACAAACTCCCATTCTTGTATAAAACCCAGCACAAAGCACCTCAATCTCCAAAAATATTCATCCTCCCACAGTTTCTCATCTCAAAACCCCAAAAACACAACTGTAAATTGGTTCATAAAAATTGCATAAATTCATATTTATACCAACCAACCAGGTTGCTTTGTTTGGTGTTTGTGTGTTGGGTTCGTTGGTATATTTGTGGAGGTGATATTTGAAAGTTAGTTTGATTGATTTTGTTGATATTAAAAAAATGTCGGCGCCATTCGTGGCAGATGGATTGGTGAGAGCGGTGAGTAGCCGGAGTAGCCGGAGTTGGAGATCGGGGAGTATAAGAGAGGTGTGGCAGGGGTCGTCGGACGTGTTTGAGAGGAATAGTACGCGGCGTCATGACGAGGTTGATGATGAGGAGGAGTTGAAATGGGCTGCCATTGAGAGGTTGCCGACTTATGATCGGGTGAGGAAAGGGATGTTACAGCAGGTCACAAGCAATGGAAGAGTGATTCGGAATGAGGTTGATATGACTAACCTTGGTCCTCAAGATAAGAAACAGCTCATGGAGAGTATTCTTAAAGTTGTTGAAGATGACAATGAGAAGTTCCTCAATCGCCTCCGTGCTCGTACCGATAGGTAAACTGCACAAATACCAAAATTTGATGAATTATTAAATTAAAATTTGATGTAGAAAAAGGATAAGGATTGGAGATGCTTTGCGCTGTGTTTGGTTAGGAATTTACGAAGGGATTTAGAAAATAAAATAAAATATAATATAAATAAAATATACCTTGTTTCACACATTTTTTTCTTTCTTTTTTTAAATGGCTTCTCAAATTCCCTAACCAAACACGTCTCCCAAACAGCATTAGAACAAGATAAGTTTAGATAGAAATAAATATAAATATGTTTTGTATAATTCTTATAGTTGGAAAGTAAATCATTAGTATAATTTCAAATAATTAGTTTTATATAGAAATTTCAAATCCACCTTAATATTGAAATTCATAACTAAACTTTTATAATTTGAGTTATTGTTCTCAAATCTCTTTATTTGAAATTTATAGCTATCCGAATGGATCCTTAATTCGAGTTTTGAGGATCTTAAAATAAATACTCACCAAGAAAATGGAGAGAAAATGAAAATTCCAACTCTGTTAAACAAAAGAGGTGTATTTTATTGTGTTTTTTCCATGCACTTCCTTTGCTAACAAACAATTTTTATTTTTATTAGTATTGGAACTTGACTAGTTAAATATTAGTCAATTTTGAATTCAAGCCAAGATCATGTCAAGTTTCAAAAATTGAATTTAAAAATTTATCAAATATTTAAGACATTTGAGTTGGACTAAGTTTGAAAAAATAAATAACTTAATATGCATATTATGAAAAAAATAAAAGATTGTAGACAAAATATAATAAAAAGCTCATGTTATTAATAAATTTGATTAATCAAATATGTAAGTTGCACAAATACCAAACATGACTAGGGAAATAAAATAGAATAATAAAAATTTATTTGATATATCTTTAAAAATAATAATAATTTATGTCGTTGTGTTTCACAAATTTCAACCTATTCTAACTTGGCTCGATTATTAAAAGATCTTAAAAATTTTAATTTGAACTCGTTTATTTAAGTTAGGGTTTGCACTGATCATTACTCTTCTTCTGTTAATAGTATTTATTTTTATTTTATTGAAATTAAATTGAGTGTTGGGTTTTGATGAAAACAGAGTGGGAATAGAAATTCCAAAGATTGAAGTGAGGTTCCAGAATTTATCAGTGGCAGGAGATGCATACGTTGGGACCAGAGCTCTTCCAACTCTCCTCAATTCCACCATGAATGCTATTGAGGTACTTATTTCTTCTATATCTCACTCTCACCAATTTTTTTTGTTTTTTTTTCATATGAATTCAGTCAAATTCGCACTTTATTCAACTTCATCATGTAATTCAAATTACTCTTGATATGTAGTAGATTTTGAAATGAATGTCAGGGTAAAGAAAAACAGAGAGTTTTGTTCTTACTTCACAATTTCAGAGAAATCAATACTAAAAGCACTTGTAAAATTCAAATATCTGCTGTGTGAATTGAAAACTATGCAGAAAATTTGCTTATTTTCTCTTAAAAAGCTTTCTGTGAGTGCAGTGTATCATCTTAAATTTAATAATGTGATATCTGATGAAGATTGTTCTCTTTATGTTGAATTGTAATGTGAGTAGGGAATCATTGGAATGGTTGGGCTTTCTCGATCTAAGAAAATGGTTATCAAGATACTTCACGATGTCAGTGGAGTCATAAAACCATCCAGGTTGGTTCATGAATTCCTTAATGTTAGCTTCATCTCTTTTGATTGATTGATCTACAGGAAACTAGAAAGTTTTGGTCTCCAAAAATATAATCCAAATACCTTCATTTTATTTTTTCTTTGTGATTTTGGAATGAAACAATATAAAGTTTGGAGCACTTAAGAAAGTTTCCGAAAATTTTCTGAAACTGGGCTGTTACTAGAAAATTTTTGTGGAAAGAGTTTTCAGAAACAGTTCGCCAAACAAGTTCCTATGCTTTCAAGCAAATGAAGATAGAAAACAAAAAACCAAAACACAACCAAATAGAAGTTTTCTGAAATATCCTTCAGTCATTGAACTATTATTTTCTTGATTGTCAGGATGACACTGCTTCTTGGGCCACCTAGCTCCGGAAAGACAACATTGCTAAAGGCAATCGCAGGGAAATCCGATGATGATCTAAAGGTTTGTCATGCTCTCTAAATTTTCCCAATTTGTTTCTCTCCCCAATTTTATATTTGGTTCCATGTATTCATTTCTTTTCCTACATGGTATTTTTTTCTACATATTGATAATTTGATTATATTGGGGTTGTGGGACAGATATCTGGAAAAGTGACCTACTGTGGCAAAGAGTTTAAGGAATTTGTTCCTCAGAGAACGAGTGCTTATATCAGCCAGCACGATCTTCACTATGGTGAAATGACAGTTCGCGAGACATTAGATTTCTCAGGACGTTGCTTGGGAGTTGGAACGAGGTATGAAATGTTGGTAGAGTTGTCAAGACGAGAGAAAGAAGCGGGTATTAAGCCCGACCCTGAGATCGATGCATTCATGAAAGCCACAGCTGTGGCTGGCCAAGAAACCAGTTTGATCACAGATTATGTTCTCAAGGTCTGTTGCTTCCATAATATCATTGTCAAGCTTGTATACTATGTTCTCTTATTTGACAATGCTAAAATCTTATCATCCTTTTAACAGATACTTGGATTGGATATTTGTGCTGATATTATGGTGGGTGATGACATGAGAAGAGGCATTTCTGGTGGACAAAAGAAGCGTGTCACTACCGGTATGTGTAAACGCAATAAAGAGTTTTGAGAAATTTTATAGAAAGAAATTCGTGGTTGCATATTGATCCTTGCTATTTCCTAGATGGGATGAAGATCTCCATTTCATTTCATAAGGATGCAACTCAACATCAAAATCTATTAAGCGACAGTCTACAACTACTATGCCATTATAAGTTTTAAAATTTTCTTAACCATCTATGAATTTAAAATAAAGATATCTTGAGGTTGATCTTTCACAACTATTGATCATGAAATGCAGATACACAAATTGGTCTATGTGTGTTATGATAACATTAACAAAAAAAGATTCATAGACATGTTTCATAATTTTTTCTATTTTTTCTCAAAAGGTCAGAATTCATACTTTTGTGTATTTTAACTACATTACTATTTTCTAACGTTCTAACTAGAACTTCAGGATATGTATCTTGTGGTTTAGGTCAAACTCCTCCTATTATGTTTTAACTTCATAACTATTTTCTGAATGTTCTAAACGGAACTTTTTGTCCTCGATGCAGGAGAAATGCTGGTTGGACCAGCAAAAGCGTTTTTCATGGATGAAATATCGACAGGGCTGGATAGTTCCACCACTTTCCAGATTGTCAAGTTCATGAGGCAAATGGTTCATACAATGGATGTGACCATGGTCATCTCTCTGTTGCAACCAGCGCCTGAGACATTTAATCTCTTTGATGACGTTATCCTACTTTCAGAAGGCCAGATTGTGTATCAAGGTCCACGCGAGAACATTCTTGAGTTCTTTGAATATATGGGATTCAAATGCCCCAAAAGGAAAGGAGTTGCAGATTTTCTCCAAGAAGTAACTTCCAAGAAGGACCAAGAACAGTATTGGTTCAAAAAGAACCAACCTTACAGATATATCTCGGTGAACGACTTTGCACAGGCCTTCAACTCTTTCCACATCGGGCAACAGATGACTGAAGAACTTAGAATTCCTTATGACCAGTCCAAAGCCCACCCTGCTGCGTTGGTGACTGAGAGTTATGGCATCTCCAATCGGGAACTCTTCAAAGCATGCTTATCGAGGGAGTGGCTGCTAATGAAGCGCAACTCTTTCACATACATATTCAAAACCACTCAGATAACAATCATGGCCACAATTGCCCTCACTGTTTTTTTAAGAACAGAAATGAAAACCGGAACAGTAGAAGATGCTTCAAAGTATTTGGGAGCGCTGTTTTTCAGTCTTATTAATGTTATGTTCAATGGGATGGCGGAGCTTCCAATGACAGTTTTCAGGCTTCCCGTGTTCTTTAAACAGAGGGATAGTTTGTTTTTCCCTGCATGGGCTTTTAGCTTGCCAATTTGGCTACTCCGAATTCCCGTTTCATTCATGGAATCTGTGATATGGATCGTACTTACCTACTATACAATTGGGTTTGCACCGTCTATTACTAGGTAAGTTGAAGTTCTTTTACAACATATAAGTTTTGTTTTGTTGGTTCGACAATCACTGGACTCCGAAACCTAATTAAATTTTTTTGACTTATCCTCAAAATGTTCAGGTTCCTCAAACAGTTTCTGTCCTTCTTTAGTGTACATCAGATGGCTCTCTCACTCTTCAATTTATGCCAATTCTGACCTCTACCGGTATGTTTGTAGACAGTACTGAGTCCTTTACACTTTATCTCTGTATCTTCCGATTCCTTGCTGGTGCTGGAAGAACTCCTGTTGTTGCAAACACAATGGGTTCCTTCACCTTGCTATTGGTCTTTGTTCTTGGTGGCTTCGTTGTTTCCAAAGATGACATTAAACCATGGATGATATGGGGCTACTATATTTCTCCTATGATGTACGGACAAAACGCCATTGCGATCAATGAATTTCTCGATAAAAGATGGAGCAATGTAAGTGCTTCTCTTAATTCTTTGTAATGATTCCACATTTGTTTCCCGGCAGGACAATATACAAACTTATTTAATTTTATATTTTTTCTTGGAACAGCCCGCCGCTGGTAGTTCCCAGCTTTCAGTTGGAAAAACTATTCTTAAGAGCAGAGGGCTCTTTCGGACGGAATATTGGTACTGGATTTGTATCGGAGCGCTTCTTGCATATTCACTGCTTTTCAATGGTCTTTTCATTGCTGCACTGACATATTTGAATCGTAAGTTAACATTTTTTGCTTATTAATTTTTTGTGTTTATGCTGTTGTAGAAGAATCCGTGTTCTGATCTTGCCTTTTTTTTTTTCCTTTTGAACAAATTTGATCTCAGCTTTTGGAGATTCTAAGGCTGTAATTTCAGAAGAGGAAGATGATGAAAGTAGTAATAAGCGGCAACTGGCATCCAACGGTGAAGGTTCGTGGTTTTAAGTTCTGCATCTTGCAAACCCTAATTTGAAAATTCACCATTCATTTGGTTTTCTTGCGCAACTAATACAGCTCATGGATAATTACAGGTATTGATATGGCTGTAAGAAATCCTCAAGGGAGCACCAGATCAAATGTTGATGGTGCAAATCAATCTAAACGAGGAATGGTTTTGCCTTTTGCCCCCCTTTCACTTGTATTCGACCATGTGAATTACTATGTGGATATGCCTGCAGTAAGTCTCTTCAACCTGAAGATTCATATATTGAGCATGTGATAACATAAAACAAAATTTTAAAGGAAAAAATCACATGAATTTAATTAAATACTCGTCTATTGCTCTTTTGGTTGCAATTAAAAAAAAAAAATCAATTCAATTCAACCTTTTGCTGCTGAACTGGGTAACTTGTATAGATTTTCAACCAAAATAATGCATTTAAATTAAAATTTGGTTCTCTATATCAGGAAATGAAGAGTCAGGGAGTCGACGAAACCCGTCTACGACTATTACGAGATGTCAGTGGTGCTTTCAGGCCTGGTATTCTAACTGCACTAGTTGGTGTCAGTGGTGCTGGAAAGACCACATTGATGGATGTGTTAGCAGGGAGAAAGACCGGGGGGTATATTGAAGGAAACATAAGCATTTCAGGTTACCCAAAGAATCAAGAAACTTTTGCTCGAGTCAGCGGTTATTGTGAACAGAATGACATCCATTCACCATTTGTTACTGTCCATGAATCTCTCTTATACTCTGCCTGGCTGCGTCTTTCGAAGGATGTGAATACGGAAACAAAACAGGTATGTAACTGAATTGCTTGAGTATGTGTCACTATGAGATTTCAATGTGGTCTATATTATGCTAAAACTGGTCCAATTAATGCGAAATTTTTTGTTTCTTTATTATGGTAGATGTTTGTGGCAGAAGTTATGGATCTTGTTGAGCTCAATACCTTGAAAAATGCTCTAGTTGGACTTCCAGGAGTAAATGGTCTTTCAACTGAACAGCGAAAGAGGCTCACCATTGCTGTTGAGTTGGTTGCTAATCCCTCCATCATCTTTATGGATGAGCCCACATCAGGCCTTGACGCAAGAGCTGCTGCAATTGTCATGCGTACTGTGAGGAACACGGTGGACACAGGGCGAACTGTCGTCTGCACCATTCATCAACCGAGCATAGATATATTTGAAGCTTTCGATGAGGTATGAACTCGATTTTATATTTTCCGCAAATGAACATCATTGTCACTTTGTGCACACTAATTGACATTAATATTTTCTTCCTTGCAGCTTCTATTGATGAAGAGAGGAGGGAATGTGATATATGCTGGACCTCTCGGTCGCCATTCTCACAAGCTTGTTGAATATTTTGAGGTCAGTTTTCATTTTCCTCCATAGCTAGTTTCTAAAGAGTCATCTATTATCAATTTGAAAGTTCAAAGTATGATGAATCAAAATTTGACAATACCTTACTTCTCCTTAAGGCTGTTCCGGGGGTTCCTAAGATTACAGAGGGTTACAATCCAGCTACTTGGATGTTGGACGTCAGCTCTACCGCAGTTGAGGCACAACTTGATGTTGACTTTGCAGAAATTTATGCCAATTCTGGCCTCTACCAGTATGTTTATAGACAGTACTGAGTCCTTTACACTTTATCTCTGTATCTGTCTCTCTCTCGTTGTCCGAGTGTGCTGATATTTCTCATGAATTTCTTTTCCAGGAGAAATCAGGAACTTATCAAGGAGCTAAGCACTCCGGCGCCGGGTACCAATGACCTCTACTTCCCTTCCAAATACTCGCAATCCTTCCTAACTCAATGCTTGGCTTGCTTCTGGAAACAACACTGGTCATACTGGAGGAACTCACAGTACAATGCTATCAGATTCTTCATGACAATTGTCATCGGTATTATTTTTGGTGTTATCTTCTTGGGCAAAGGAAGCAAAATGTAAGTGTATAATTTTGGCATTTACACTCTAATTATCACATTTTTGGTTATTATTATTATTATTATTATTATTATTATTATTATCAATTGATGTCAATACTGACACGAAGATCAATTGTATAATTTTTGGTCAACAGACAACAACAACAAGACTTGCTTAATCTTCTTGGAGCTACCTATTCTGCTATCCTTTTCCTCGGATCCTCCAATGCTAATGCGGTGCAAACCGTTGTAGCAGTTGAGAGAACAGTATTTTACCGTGAAAGAGCAGCTGGGATGTATTCAGAGTTGCCTTACGCGTTTGCTCAGGTAAAGGATAAAAGACGTTACATCACATTTTCTTTTCGCTAAGAAGAATGTGTATATATGGTCTCCCACATCCAATATTTACACCGTACTTTCTCTATTTCAGGTGGCCATAGAAACAATTTATGTTGTAATTCAGACCCTTATCTATGCTCTTCTCCTTTACTCGATGATTGGCTTTGAATGGACAGCAGTCAAGTTCTTCTATTTCTACTACTTCATATTCATGTGCTTTACCTACTTCTCCATGTACGGAATGATGGTTGTGGCTTTGACTCCTAACCATCAAATTGCGGCTATTGTCATGTCCTTCTTCTTCAGTTTCTGGAACTTGTTCTCTGGTTTCCTCATCTTCAGGCCGGTATGTATCTATAACGTGAAAGACTACTTTCAGCGTCATATATATCTTTTTACTTGAAATCATGTCATTAATATCATAATTATGACACTTGTGCTCTAATCATTGCAGAATATCCCGATATGGTGGAGGTGGTACTATTGGTGTTCTCCAATTGCCTGGACAATCTATGGCATTTTCACATCGCAAGTGGGTGACAAGACCAGTCCTCTTACTTTCACTGATGGGTCAGTCTCTACAGTGAAGGAATTCCTTAAAAGCACCCTGGGTTTTGATTATGACTTCCTCATTCCTGTAGTCTTTGCGCATGTTGGTTGGGTCCTCCTCTTCTTCTTCGTCTTTGCTTACGGCATCAAGTTCCTCAACTTCCAAAGGAGATAGAGAACCTTCATTCTACTCTGAACACTGTATTAGAATTTTTAGATATTATTTCAACGATGAGTGTATACTAGTTTAGTTAATGAGAGAGGTGAAAATAAAACCATAGCCTCTCTTGGTTTTTTTCTTTTCTGTGGTTTTTTTCTGTGTGGATTCTTTTTTAGCATATTTGTATCTATTCTTTGAATGTAATTTTCCTAAAAATTCTCTGTTGTACCTTATGGGCAATATTTAATACAAGTTGCTTCTGTCAACACTGCCTCTATACTTTCTTGGTATTGAGAGGGAGGTTCATTTCCTCTCCTATGTGTATTACCACAATGGACATCTATGGATTTCATTTTTGTTATTGGTGAATGGTACAAAGACTAATGCACATGAGTCATGATCATGTATCTTTTACACTCAATTATCTATGTTCCAATGCATTTCCTGTCAAAAGATTATGACTCAAGATTTTTGTGTCTTAATATTTTCACATGAGTCTGCAACGAGAAATGCAAGGGATGGAGGGATCAGAGAAATTTGACGATAGAGAATCTCATGCCAAATGCACATTCCTTAAACAGAGCACATTGGACTTCTTTGTACCCAGGGCCGGCCTTGAGATTTAGGAGGCCCACGGCGACCTTCGGAAATGAGGCCTTTCTTCATGACTGGCCATTTCCTATCTTGCTTCTCTCCATTTAATAAATTTTGAATGCAATATGTAGAAGAGAAATGTCTATCATTGTCATCTCTAGGAAAATTGACAACATTACTTTTTATAGGACCTCTTTCAACTAATAAATCTCTGAAATTCTAATCAATCTTGTCCCAATTACTTGGGTCATTAATATTTAAAGGTCCATATTCAACATTAAAATCTTCACTTTCAATGGGTTCCTCATTCACCAAATCTTCATTTTCATTCTCATTCAAACATTCAATAGGTTCTTCAACACCCAAATCTTCATTATCATTCTCATTACATTGATTAAGTTCTTCAATTACCAAATCTTCATCAACCAAACATGAACTCTCTATTTGTTTCTTGCTACCAAAAAATTTATCAAGCGCTCCTGATTGAGATTGAATAAAATTTTCTAATTTTTGCTTCTTTTTCCTTTTTTCACATCTAGAAATATACTTTCTAGGATGCATGACTACTCTATATAATCACAAATCCACACAAATTCACAATCACTGATCTCTGCAAATAATATACTTTCATAATTAGAGCATAACAAAAATTATAGACTTCCACTAAAGTATATAAATTAGGTAATTTTCTAATTTAAAGAACAAATTATAAAGGGCAAGAAATTAGGAGGAAAATTAGGGAAAAAATTAGGGCAAAAAATTTCTCCATTTAAATGTGATATATATATATATATATATAGAGAGAGAGAGAGAGAGAGACTCCCGGATTTTGATGCCCAAAATCGTTAATGCTCAGCAGCGTCCGTCAAATATGGAGGAGAGGAGAGGACTGAAGGTGGACTCACGATTTCATTAGTCCAATGCGAGAGAGAGATCAGTCCAATATGAGAGAGAGAGAGAGAGAGAGAGAGAGAGAGAGAGATGTATTTCTTTCAATGTTTCTTTCAATGAGAGTGACCCACGTGAATTCATTCTTCTCCATGGTGGGTATTATGATGTGCTTCTTGTTTTTGGGCCCACGTTGAATTGGGCCTCTATTATGATATGTTTTTTTTTTAGGCCCCGTGTTCAATTGGACTTAAAATATTTGGATTTTTTTTTTTTAATATCCAAAACACAAAATCATATTTTGGAGCCCTATTTTTAGCCCAAATCTGGGGCCCAAGGTGCAGGCCTCTTTGGCCTTCCCTCAAGGTCGGGCCTTGTACCTGTTGTTTTCTTTGTTTTTGCTCATGGCATTAAGTATCTAAACTTGAAGGATATAGAGAACCTTCATTTCACTCGATATTTGGATTTACTCATTGCAAAAGGATGAATGTATAAAATATTAGTTTAGTTTTTTTTAATAAAAGTGGAGAAAAGAAAACCGTAGCCTTTCTTTAGAAGTAAAGAGTGGCTTCATTCATTGCATTTAAATAAACAACAAAATTGGACATTTACAAAGTGTTATCATTGTACTTTATATAGATTTCAAAATGAAACCTTAAATTTCATAACATTTAAACAATGGATAAATGTTTTTTCAAAGCAGTTTGAAATTATGGCAAAAATATTTGAACGATATGTTTGGATTTTTAATTTATGAAGAAAAAAAAATATAAGAGAGAATTTTCGTTACAACATAATTGTTGGGGACTAAAAAATACATGGTTTGTAATTCATACCTACTTAAAAGTTTGAGACTATAAATACTCTTCACACATGCTCGTAACATGATAACACAACCAATTTATGAAGGTATGAGAGGTGCTCACAACATAATATAGTGGACCTTCTCACACCAAATCATAGCCCAAAGAATTAAACCTTCCCGCGAGAAGAAACAACTTTGAAAGTTGTTTGGATTTGAAATACAAAGACACAATGCTTTGAAGCATTGTGACTATTGGGTTTGGAGACTCAATACCAATGGTTGTAACCATTGATAAAGAGGCATCATGTAAGGTATAAATAGATTGTCGAGACAATGGAACAAACCGCTTGAAATTGCTCTTTATTCTCTCTCTGTTTTTAGTCCGGATTGTGTATTCTTCTTGCGTGATAAACACCCTCACAGAATTATCGATCATCGCCATTGTTCAGTTTATCTTACAGTGGTATTAGAGCCTTGTTTACACATAATCGCATATGTCGAATTACAGTCCGGAAAAATGAAAATTTTCCAAAATCTTTTTACCAAAAATTCAAAGAGTTATTGATCGACAAGCTTCAGCATTGGTTAATTCCGTTTGTTTATTTAATCATCGCCAACGCGTTGTTTTCCTAGAAAAATATTCAAAGAAAATAACAGTTGGTGGTGATATTGTACTGAACCTTGTCGAAAGTATAGCCAAAAAATGTCTAAGGGTAAAGCTACAATTATTTGCTATGTGCTACAGTTTTTACAATTATTTACTCTGATACATACTGTCTACCCTTTCATGTTTTCAAAGAGATAGACTGTTGTAGATAAGCTTTGGCTAAGCTGATTTGTCGTGTAGCGTCGGCTGAAAAGATTTGGCTGATTATTTTCCGCCGAATAATGCAGGTTGCTCCACGTGTCCTGTATAAGGTTGGAGTCGGTCAAGAGACAGTTGCATTTGATAGTGGGGTCCACTATGCTTCCATCCTGTTGATGAGATTGTGATGTTCTTTATCATTCTCTGATGGAGGAGAATCCGGATCCTAGTTGTATTGCTCATTCCGAAAATGTTCTACATCATCCGCGGTCATGCCTAGTTCCAACGGAAGATCCAAATTATTTCTCTTTTTGAGATTTATTAACATGTGAAGAGCCTCATTAATTTGTGTAAGAGACCTTTGATATGTTATGGGAAAATGGGTTACAAATAATATTCTACCATCTGTAACTATGAATGGCAATTTTGTTGAGCCATGGATGTTGGACGCTGCTTGTGAAATAGATAATAGACTGTCTATCCAATATTCTATTAAAGAAAGTTTTTAGATATTTTCCAATCGCTCTCTCCGGTGATCTTCATCTAAATAATCATCTTCAAATTAAAAATCTTTAGTTTCTTTAAGATACCAAATCTGGTATGGTTGGAAAAAATGTTCTCGTTCTCGCCAACCAACAGTGTTGGAGATCCAAAAAGTAAAATATTTGCTCCATCGGAAGCCTTTTACTATCCATGAGAGCATTGCTTTGATGATCATTGGATCATCTATCCATTGGATTGGATCTAAAATTTGGAAAATAACTTGATTAGTTATTCCCCAATCTATATCCTCAAAAAACCACATGTCATGGTTTTGCCATGATGGTTATTTTGGGAATTCCATCTTTCAAATTTAATTTATCATAAGATCGTTCTAAGATTTGTCTAATCTTGTCATGATGTTCTTCAACTCGATTTTTGATTAACATAAAAATTTCTTTTGGAAGCAAAGTTCTTGCTTTTTCAAAAAGAAAAATTCTTTTTATTTGTTCAAAAACTGGATCAGAAAACTCATCTGATATGAGGTCTGATAGTTGAAGAAAATTGTTTATTTTTTTAAAATTAAAATCTTCATTCCAATTCATTTGTTTAAGGATATTGAAATAAAGATTTTGCAAATATTTTAATTTAGTTGTTTGCTTAGCTAATTCGTTGGCCAGAACTCCCATGTGTTTTCGAAATTTCACTTTGTTGTCTACAATGTGAGTTTTTCAAACTCCATTGAATTCTGTTTAAATTTCTCTGGATATATCAGGACTGAAAAAATCTTTTATCTCAGATTCATCTGGTTTAGATGTCTGAATATTAGTTGGAACTAGGTTAGTTCTCATTTGACAATAATTCTTTTGATAAATAGGTATAGCTGGTGCACTGTAAAAAGCTTTTTTAGCTTTGGTCATGCTATCATATGCTTTAAAGCTTGCTCCTGGAAATCCTCGAACTTGCGTGTTGCAATCATTCCATTCTGTATAAATTCCAGGTTGTCTTCCTGCAAATACAACATAAACTTTTTCTTGTCTAGTATAGATCATTGGTCTTACTCTAATGATAACATTAGGGTCTTTCAATTTTAAACTACAATTACGTGGGCTACGTTGCCATAGTTTTAATGGATGTTCACTAAAATTTTCTTCTAAAATTTTATAAATCCAGTGTGATTCATCAATGGTTTTGATGATAGGAGTTAAATCACCACGCGACACAGGCCCAAACTCTTTATCACAAATATATTTATGTTGTTCTAACAAGGGAATATAAATTAAGACATTGTTTATGCTTAATGAAATAGCTTTTTCCTGTATTTGCATTGGAAGGTATTTATATAGAAAATTATTGCCAAGAAGGAAATACCCATGCATATAAGGAAAACATAAAAAAAAAATTTGGTACAATGAACTTGCTATCATTTAACCAAATAGCTAT